CTTGTTAGAAGTGAAATTAGGGCCGCCCCCGGGATCTTTAGGATCTTTTAGGATCTTCCCTCGGAACGATTTCCACCGCTGTTATTTGATTAAGCTCCCTCTGCAGACAATAATAAGGGTGGTAATTTCAATCGCTTCGCCCTGGAAGCTTTTTTTTGTCGCTCGAACGGAAAATCCTATTCCCACCGTAGCTCGCGGTATTTATATTTTGGTAAAAGAAGCAGGGTTCTGTGTTTTCTTACGGTGGCAGGACGTTATCGGACACGGTCGAGAGACCTCGAGGGAAAAAAAAGGAGAAGGGGGACAGGGTGTTTCGGAGGGACGATGGTAACGATAAGTGAAACTCCCGGTGGAGGCGGCGGGAATACGGTTACAGCACCCTCGAGGACACTAGAACGCTCATATCCTAATAGAAACGTAATCGCGTAGTCCTGCGCGCTGAATAAATTATTAGCATGGCTTACGCAGCTATGGGCCAAGGGTCCGCGCAACACGCCATATCGCTTGGATTAACGACGATCTGCACCGTGGGATAATCGTGGATTTATTCGCCCGTGACTCTCCGCGTTTATTTATTATTGTTTTGGCACCATTGCCCATTACTGACGGGCGATTTTTCGGAGCACCAGTCGCATTCTTGCGTCAACAATGTTGTCATTGCCCTCGCGTATTACCAGAAGCTTCAGAAACATTGTGTGTCTTCGACAAGAGCACAACAAACATTCTATAAATGCGTAACAGGTATATAGAAAGATCCTTTTGGAAATCCTAGTTGCAAAAAATGTAACATATCTCGCTTATACTCGTTTTCACGGCAAAAGCATTCGTGACATAATTTGTTGGAAATTGAATTTAGAAACTATTTGTTCGTGTACATATTTTCGCTACGCGAATGCAATCAAGTTTTATTTACACGCTTTATTCCCACGTAAGAAGATTCAGGTCGAAGTCACGGATAAAAACCAGTTCTTGAATAAAGTTTAAACACTGCTCTGAATAATACATGGGGATAACGCGATACCAGCGACGATGCACTGATTTTCCAATTTGTTAACTTGATCCGGTTGAAATTGCTCGATCGAAGATTGCCGACAGATTAAATCGTCCGCGAGCATTTCGTGGCGATTTAATTAAAAAATTTTTCCGACGAAGGACAACATTCGGCTGGGGAATTATCGAGGATGATTAAAGGCGACGATAACCGGCGGCGTTCGCGTAACTGATTGTGTCATGCGTGTCATCGAAAATGAAAACATGGAATCGTCATAATCTTATCGATCTCTTTCGCCCCGAGGGCCTTATCGAATCAATTTCCATGACAACGGCGAAACGCGTGTGCCAGTTATTTTTAATCACCCGATGGCCCTGAATCATTCCGAATACATTCGCGTAATTTTCGGCAAAAGCGGTTGCTCGATTAATTATATACGACGTTATCGAAACTTTCACTGGAGAAATGACAAAAATGGTTTCACGAGTACGATCAATGGATCATCGTCTAACGAGCATACAGAAACATGTTTCTTATTTAATCATTTTATACAGTGCATAAAAATAAATACAAGAGTCATTCCATGCATTGCTTCGAAATGATTTTATTTTGAACGCGTTGACCGTTGATAAGAAAAATTTCCAAAGTGTTATGCTACTTTTTAACGTGTTTTTGCACAGTAATAGGGCTTTTAATTGGAGCCACTTTTGGGGATAAACAGTTTGTTAAGCAGAGGTGTATTTAATTTAAATTGGGACAATCAAGAGTATAAAACCACACTTTATACTTTGTCTGAATATTCTGAATAGTCTGAACCGTTCTCGTTATAACATAAAAGAAGAATAACCTTACACATTTTCAATTAATATTAATTAACATATTGACTGGCAACTATGAGTTAACTCGTAGATAACGATTTATCAACGGTCGTTACTTACGAGTAAATAGTAGATAATAACCGTATGGAAGAAAAATAGAAATCAGTGTGCATTAGAGAACTGAATATTTATCTACGAAAAAAATTAAGTATCCAGTCATTTCGTAGCTAATGCATATGTTAATGTTTTTTTTTTTTATATAATAAGGGGCTAATTGTCGTAAATACATTCGTAATTATATAACTTCGATTCGTTTTTATTATGTTTCCGATGACTCACGTACAGAAGTGTACGCAGGCAGTGTAACCCGTATGCTGGATAAATAAATAAATAAATCAATCAAAGGATCATCGACGCGTAAATTTTTCACCGCATCGTGGGGATCATCTTTCACCGATTGGACGCAATCGACATCGAGGGAGAGTGCGAAAACACCGCCCACGACCCTTTTCACAAACCCCCTTCGACATATTTACCCCTGTTTGCCCGGTAATCACGGAAGTGGTAGTTTATCGACGAGGAACGACGCGTCTCGAAAACAACGATCGGAAAAAGGTCCAGAGAAACGAAATTATAAACCTCGACTTTCCTATAAAAATAAAATTGTAATTTTATCTGTAATTATACAATTTCTATTACGTATATCAGAATATGGAGTAAGCTTTTCCACTTCAAATGTAAACAGAACTGGTTAGTAATGAAACCTAATCTCTAAGAAATATACATTAATATTCGTTTTTAATTATACAAATTTTATGATATTTAAACTCATATATAACAACCAAATAACGCGTAAATAAGAACAGTGATCTTGGTCTCAATTTAAAGCTTGAATCACACAAAATTGGAGGAAAGAAAAATTGACTTTTGTAAGATGCAATCTTAAGCATCAGGATACGTTTGCAGAGCAAAAAATTCATAGTGTGTGAGATTTTTATTCATAATTGATGACGTCAACTTCCACCAACGAGAAACAAAACTCCCGCCAGACTCCCGAAGAAGAGATTCATAACTACCTACAAGAGTCATTACATCCGCCTTCTGCTAATATCTTCAAGTACTGGAAGGATGGCATAAAGTATCCAAACTTAAAGAAACTTTCGACTTTCAATCTTCAGAAGCGCCATCAACTATATACTCAGACTTTTCAGCACAACAGGCATTTTAGTCGATAAAAACCGGAAGTCTGCAAAACCTGGACGGAGTTCCGATGCTAGGATTTTTAAACGAATATTTTTGTATTATCAGAGATGTAAATTATAAAATTATGATATTTGGCTTGCACTTGTATTTATAGGGAAAACATTGTAACGTAATTTGTTTAAAATTTAATTTAAAATAGTTTAAAATTATAACACGGATTCAAACTTGCAACACAATTAAATCAGTATACGTGGATGTTAAATTTCAGTACGATATAATTATTACTTTGTAACATAGCTAATAGTTATGGTACTTCTGCTCGTAAGAAATTATAAGAATTTTTTATTCTACAATGTTTCATCATTCTTTGTCATATTCCAATTAAAGTAGAATATTTAATATTAAAGAATCAGTTGAAAAATTTAACGGTGAAAGATTGAAGTTTTAACATCAAAGTCTAATTTTGACTAACACAGTTTGGCTGCCCTGAAAACCTTTATGCTTTCAAGAAATTTTTGATACACGGACACGACTAAAAAGAATTGTTGTTGGCAAAAACAACCGTAACGCTGGCGAAATCTCGGATGAGACATAGCTTCCTTCGATAAATCAGTTAAACGAGATGCACGGAAAGAGAAATTTAAACAGGTGCGCGAGCGTGTTTGATCATCAAGAGGCAATTTGTGTTCGCCTCTCTTCCATTGCCACTCGAAAGAGAATCACGAACGCGGACGACAAATATTTAACGTTCTCCTATCGATCGATATTATATCCTATTTACCAAGAGCCAACTCTTTCACGCGCTCTACGCATGTCACATTTCCGACCATGGTTTGTTTAAATCGGCTACTCTCGATCATTTGCAATCGGATCTTTTACTTAACTCAAACACGCCACCAAAACCTTGAAACTCATTTTATTAGAACTTTTTATTGACAAACAAGCTTTTAACATCTATATAAAAAATACTGTCGTAAATAATTATACTAAATATTAACCCTTCCACGGCAACCTCTATTTCGATTTGAATTTAAATATTGATGTTTCGTATTCCTACATAAGCTTCCTGATAAAATTTTTTAATTATTGTATTGGTAAATTTATTATTTTTTTATTGTTGTTTATTTTATATAACTGATCAGTTTATATAACTCCTATCATTAGTGTTATTTAGTGAAAATTAAAACGTTAGAATTTAATTACAATAAAACCGATGAATATGACGAGGTTTATTAAAGAAGCTTTTAAGAACGTAATTTTTTATTTTATAATTTAAATATATCATATAAAACGAGAAAATAATAATAATGTGTAATTTTCATCGTTATATATATTTCTCTGCTTTTTGAGCGGATATACTCCTCTATTAACCACGAAATTATTGGGACAATTATTGCAAAAACATTTGCCATCTTTTCTACGAAACGTGACACTCTTGAATGTAATAAATTTCTTTTCTTAAAACACAATCATTTTCGGAATAAAAGTGTAGGAATTGTACGAGTTCGAAAAACCATTCACTCGTTGGTCTTTCGTGGCTCGGTATTTTTCGGATTAAATACATATCGCCTATCGAGAAGTAAAGAACGTGGGGATAATTTCGTTGGATGAAAAATGAGAGGCGTGCGACCAGCGTGGATTACGTTCACGAGAAAACGACTCGAGATCCTGAAGTTTTATCCGGCGCTGGTCTCTTGGTAAAATCATTATCCATCGTAACTCAGCTCATAAAGATTACGATCGTGAGCGGTCTCTGAGATCATCGGAGCGTCTTCTTCGTACTTCGAGGAACGAAGAAGAAAAAAAAAAAAAGAAAAAAGAAGAGCAGTGTAATTTACGAGGCAACCTAATTCTATCGTTTTTCCGTCGTTGGCGTTTACCAATCCCTCTGAACTCACACGGTCTCGATGCATTCGAGCCATTATCGAATGGGGACCGCGTTTCCCGCAGACTGGCATGCGTTTATTAAATATTTTCGAGTCACTCACCCAGTGCTGCGTTGTTACGACCTCGCCGTCCGCTCCGTCCAGAGTCTGCTAAATCGAAAACCAAACGATCAGTGGCTATTCCCGAATTTCGCGAAATTACAATTATTCTCAACCTTCTTTTGAAAACGATCATTCGGCAAGAACTAATTTTTATTTCGATGGAAGGCAAAAAATATAAATTTTTATTGATGACTGACATTTAATTTTGATTACGATAATCGATACAAACGACTGAAATTTTATTGTTTCATGTAATTTTAGTAAAATACACTTTTGCTAGTTGAAAATTAAGACATAAAATTGAAACTAAGTTTTAATTCAAAATCAGAAATATCTAAGGTTTGGACTAATTATTTTTTGGAAGAGATATATGATATATTCTGCCTCCCTCCATCCACATGAGACATAATATTGAGGAAAGATTTAATTGAAAATAGCGGAGTTATATAATGTTTTCTACCGATATTCAATGGTTCCTTATAAAAATTCACGGATCCCCAGATATCTATGGTTCCCTAAGGGTTCGTGGAGCACAGGTTAAGAATGATTGATCTGTTCTAACCGACCACCCTTTAAGGAGCAAAAGATACTTACGTCCTTTTTCCTCTTCACGGCTGCCGCACCTGAAACAATCGAACGAGACACTTCAACTTTGACGGACTCCCGACCGACGAGAAAGGGGTTAAGGATAAACTAACCGGCTGTGGAGTTTGGTAACCGTGCTCCGTTGGTGCCGGTGGGTGCTGCAGGGTTGGCAGCGGGAGTGGGTGTCCCGGAGGGCGGTACACCCCGGGTTCCGAACGGGAAGTACGGAGAATCCGGGGGGTAGGTGGCGCCCTCTACGCCTCCGCCACCCCCGCCGCCGCCCCCACCTGGCCCCCCGCCTGGCCCTCCCGCCGTCGGACCGTATGCTGCTCCGCCATACGTCTGCAAAAAGATCAGTTTATATCGGTTATTCGATAAGTCTACACACTGGACCCAAAATCGTTGTATCAAGGCGATCAGATATCTTATACTGAAACGCGGAACAGCCCCACAGAATCACTTGATAGATTTGTGAAAATATTGCAAAGCACGAAAGGCAAATATATTTCACTAATAATCGTGATGATTGTGGTAATTGATTAAGTCATATGTTTCCTGGTTCGAGATACCTAAATGTTAGCATTTGACCATATTAAACAATATTTTTCTATCACGATGCAAACTGTATCGAAAATTAAAGTTTTGCTAATGTAAAATTGACCCAAGATCATTAAGATGATTAACTTACACGAAAGCGTGTATTTTGAACAGTCGATTACTTATGCTACTTTAAAAATTATTATTATATCCTAGTTGATGATCCACGATAACACAAAAATTACAAATTTACAAGGTTAAGTCTAAAAAAAATTAATTGATAACGCAAATTGTGCGTAGATTTTTGCTCCATTATATGCATAAATAATTAGAACGGAGGTGTATAATTAGAGTAATTACGTCCATAGAAAATTTATTGCAACGTTTCTGCCGTGTGGAGGTCTTCTTCAAGATAATTAAAAACAAAGATTTCCTGAAGCGAACCGCATCCACACGGTTGTAAACGTTGAAAATAAATGTTCTGTTACCGTAACTGCTCTAATTGCCAATTAATAATACATCTGCATTGCAATTATCTAAAATTTTCAAAGTTACATAGATAACGAATAATGATTTAAACGATACGTAACAACGCTTACGATTGGAATTTTACATAGAGAAGAGACGTACGAACGAAGGAACCAATCCGAAGAAGAGTATAGGAGGCGAGTTCAATAAATCACCCATCGAAATCAATACTCCTTATCAGTTATGGTTTAACGACTACCGATTAGATATTGCTCTCCGACGACGTAAAAGAGTCTCTACTATCGACGCCTCTTCCTAGAAGTCTTACTGACCGCTCACATGCAAACAGTTTTCGGATAACACCGACAAAGAGAATCGTTCCATTAAAGAACAAGCAGAAAACTCGCCGAAGGATTCGTGCTACGATTCGCCGATTCTCGACCGAGGTTACTGCTAAACGTCGACGGTCACCGATAAAGGTCGTCGAGATGCAACAATTAAAAGTGCGGCAATAGGCGCGTCAAATGAGGGCACAAGGTCGCCTTTCTATTACGCGTTTCATAAATTCGACGTGCGTTTTGATAACGTCTCGCATGGAATCGAGTCTAAACAACTCTTTGTTAATTACCAATCGTGGAAATAATTCCATCCGATCGTGACGTCGATGCCCCACCGATTTTTCTTTTAAAAACGTTGTTCGTTGTTCGAATAAAGATTTTTAATTCATTAGTAACACTCTTGGGAAAATTCATTTGCAAACTGGAGTCTAACGACGAACTTTTCAAAAGCTAGTTCGCAAATAAATCTAAAATTTCTATTCGTTATTCGCGAATAAAATTTTCCCAATTCTGGGTATTTCTGAATTCACAGTCCATCGTTGGTAATTCATTTGTTATTACAATAAATTCCTAACGAGTGTATTAATTAGGACAAAAAGTTTTAGTTTGATCTCGCGTTAAAAAGAAAAATAGTCTAAATATTGCTCATTTTTCAAGCCAACGCAGAGGAAAACCCTCTTAACGAGTTTCATAGCGCGGAATCGTTTCGTTTCGGCAGTCTTCTCGCCGACTCGGCTAATTAGCGATCGTCACGGAGGTCGCGCGGAAGAAATGGATGGTCGGCACACACCGTGGCAGAAGAAAATGCGAGGGACTTTATCCGCGCCACGGGATAACTTTTCATCCGAGACCGCTTAACCCCCCCCCCCCCCCCCCCTGCAACCCCTCCGACGGTGGTCCTTTGTTCTATATAATGTGTATATTAGTATGTACGTATCCTCGGTGTGCCGGGGGGCACACGTACACGGCCGTATAAATGCTTCGTCGCGAACGAGAGTGCGAGGCGTAAATGGTATTAAAACCGGCCAGCTCGAGGACGCTCAACCTTCGCGAAATTAGGTAATTCTTATTTCCGAGGGAAAAGAACGCACGCGAATCGCCGCGGGCGGCTGAGATTAATTCGCCCTCCCGCGGAGAGGCATCGTTGGAAATTCGCGACGATTTCGTTCCCCGAGGAGCGTCTAATTACGCGCCATCGGAACGAACGAGCATTCAAGAGTCACGAGATTTTAAAACGAACGTGGTTTTATCGACGTTTCACGAGGCTATTTTCATATTTAACGAAATTAGAGACATGAGATCCCGGTTTTACGAGTCAGTTGTAAGGTATACACCATCGGTGGGCAAACTGCGGCTATTCGAAACCCTTACAGCCCATCCCCATGATACAGTTATTTTTCATTTAATCCTTTTCTTTATTTTAAATTTAAGTAACACTACAACGGATAACTTTTTCAGAAGTATAGATTTAACGAACAAAAAATAATTGTATTTGAAGCTGTACGTAAGAATCATGATCATTAAAACCACAATTACAGTGACAATAGGATTACATTTGAAAGAAATCAATAAAATACACACCTTCGTAAAAATTATAAAAGTATACTGGTTAATTGTTATAAATTTACGCGTGTGCACCTCCTCGCGAGAGAATTTTAAGCACAATGAGAACCGCTCCCCAAAAATATTGCTCGCAATAAAGTTTTCGGATTATCTAGCGGGCGGCTCAGGCCGCGAAACAGGAAGTAGAAAGAAAGGGAGTAACTTTTTCTCGGATAAATTTGCCTCTACGGCTGCAATAATTATTACGCTCCTGTTTCTTGCGTAATCCCGCTTTATCTTGAGTTTCGAGTCGGTCGAACGGAAGGGAGACAAATTCTGAACTCACTTCCTGCTCGTCTATGCGCCGATGCATGAAGAACAAAAATCTCAACACGTTTGTCAACCAATTAAGGAAATATACGTCTTTAAAAAAATAAACATTGTGCTTATATTAACTGTGCGCAAACTAAAATTGAAGATCATATTAAGCCGTACAAAGTTTGAGTTTAGAGCATTCTAAATTATGCACATCTGAACTTGAGAATTAATTTTTCCCAGTTCCATAGTGGGAAAACCCTGTCATTCATATATGGGCGACATGACAGTCGAAGAATTAAGAGGATTTAGATAAAAGTTAATTTTCGAAGAATTCAATATCATGAGTTGCCTGCAACTGCAATCTTATCGCGTGAAAAATTAATATAAAAACAGTTTAAACGTGATTCGGCTATAACAACATTCGGTATTTGATTTCGCCAGTGCAATCACCTGATTTTTTATTTAAACTCCATGTTAGAAATGCACTTACCATTCCGTTGTCCATCGTGGGGCCATACGGCGATTGGAAACCCGACTTCTCTGAAACAAACAAAGAAACAACGTTAATACAAAATTCTTCGCGATTAAGAAATAAAGTTGCAACTCTGGGTAAAAATGCAACGCTCCTCTTAATCCCTGAATTAACTCTGTTTACTGTAGAAAGTTGGTAAAAAGAAAATTATTCTACCCGCAAAAATAATAAACGAAAGAGACGAGGCAAATATTCGCTAATTATGTATATGACCTACAGTTTTTACCTTCCATAGAAAGAGTTATTAAACAGATTCAATATGTACGTAATATCATCTTCCATATAACGGATTAAAATGATTCACGGAGAACAGTAGAATTGATTATAAATAATCAATAAAATCGTACATTACGCACGAAGCCTTGAGCGTGAATAATAGATAAAATTAGTGTAGTTATATTAACACGTCAGACTCCAGCGTATTAAAACGTCATTAACATGAAAACAAAGTCAGATAGAACGGACTTTTATACAGAAAGTTGTCAGTCACTAATATGTAAATGTCGAAACACGATCGAACGATTGACCCTTGTACTAAATAATTACGCTTTAATTATTTAACGTAAAGATACAATAAAAATGTAGTATTTAATGTGTTTAAAATAGTTAGACGATAAGAACCTAATAGAATAGTGCTTATAACTAAATATTCTCTGCCTCAAAACTATCAAAGGATAAATTAAGAAAATTTAAGTCGACAAGTGGGGTTGGCTAGATTACAAATTCTGCTAAACGGATCAGTAAAATGGAAATTAGAAATGTAACCTGTAGGTTTAAAAAGTGGATGAAATCTCGAATTTCTAGCGGGAACGTTAAAATTTTATTCGATCAAACTATGATCTCTGATTAGAAATTTTTGGAAGTTATCGACGTATACTTCGAAGTGTTACATTAATTAATACAAAACATATTGAACATTGACCTGACAAGAAATAATTTTTACCGTGTTTGTATCAATAAATATAGAAATTAATCACGATTTGAGTTATGGGAAACGGAGGGTTAACTTGTTAAAGGTTTAAAATTATATTATTGTAGATAACGGGCCCCCCGTCAGACGGGGAAGCGGAAGAAGACGATCCCTCGGCGTGCATACACGCCGGCGAGTCGATGCAAAATTAATGTCGGGCATAAATTCGCGAGGCGTCTTTATAAATCAAAACCGCGATCGCGCTAAGAATCCGCGCGTTGCTGTGCGCGTTTTCCCGCGTTGCGGCTGCCACGCACGCGGAATAAACAACGAGATAAACATTACGTGGTTGCCGGAGCCGGGGCTTCATCTGTTATTAATGCCCACCCCGTATACGTACGTGGCATGCAGAGAAAGACGAGAGCGCGAATCTACGTGCGCGCGTCTTGCCAAGAATTTATGAGGATCGGCTGGATTTACTGGTTTCGAAAACCGCCGTGGAAGAATTCGGATTAACTTTAATTCGACGATATTTTATTGTCGCGGCCTGTTATTGCGTCCCTTCGAACCACGATCAATTTCTTCCCTTCGATGTAATAATTGATTCAAGGGTTCCCCCGATAAGAGCGATGGAACTTTCAATTTTCAGAGCATTTCTTATTTTATTTATTATCAAAATTCGAAAACAATTCCTGCACTTTGTTCGATTTACAATCAACGGAACAAACAATTCGTTATTCGGTGGATAAATTCGATTATTGATCAATACATTCCAAGTGATGAACGTAGTGTTAGAAACCGAAGAAAATATTGTTACTGAAATGGAAAGTGTTGACAATCCCAATTTATCGATTCCATGACGTTCTTAAGAATCCTATAGGCATTTCTCAGACTTTTGCGTGATGAATTCTATATGAAGACTTATATCTTTCTTACAAAATTCAATTAACTTAGGAATTGAAGCCATCGTATGGACCGTGAGTTTGTCGATCGCGCTAAGATCCTGATTTTGCCAACAAAAATGAAGTTTGCTTTTGGATAGATGGCTTTGTCAATAACCAAAATTGTCAATAATCGTGTAACCTTTGTACCCACATAAAGTCACTTTGCGTTATGATTTTTTCCCCCGGTAAATAGATAATTTCACCTTTCTTTTGCGTGAATTATGTGGTCTCGATTTGTCCGAGATTTAGTTTTAACGAGATGTGGTACCAGATGCCACACTTCCGCTGAAACTATCACTCTATTGACATCGAAGTTCGATGATAAGATTATTTCGAGAAATGCAGCTGTCAACTGGCCACCAAGATCTTACGACTTGACGCCATCAGACTTTTTCTTGTTGGGCCATGTTAAGTCTCTCGCTTGTTCCAACAAACCACAATCTGTTGACGATTTCAAAGCAAACATTGTTCGTGTTATTGGTAAGATACAATCTCATTTACGTGTCAGTCATCGAAAATTGTGATTATTATATACACTAACAAATGCTACTGTACTGTATAATGTCATCGAATGGACATCAAAATAAAATAATGAGCACCAGATTATTTTTAGTAAGCATTGTTTGCATTTGAATCATTAAAATCCTTCGATCCATCCAGAGGTTATGATTTTTTAAACATATGCATGAAATTTCAAGGAAACATGTTTGGCCATATATTTTCGGTAAAGAATTTTTTTCTCGAAAGTGGGTAGGATTTCGAGGGTATGTGCATTCACCAAAAATGATTGTAACTGACCTCCGCAACCAAAAATAATTTTTACAGATCGATTTGAAATTTTTTTTTCCCATCCAAAAATTTCACACCTTCTCGAATTTTTTTCTCGGAAGTGAGTAGGATTTCGAGGATATGTCTAATGACTAAAACTGATTATAATTGACCCCCGCAACTGAAAATAATTTTTTCAGAACGATTTGAAATTTTTTTTTCCATCGAAAAATTTCACACCTTCTCGAATTTTTTTCTCGAAAATGGGTAGGATTTCGAGAGTATGTGCATTCACCAAAAATGATTGTAACTGACCTCCGCAACCAAAAATAATTTTTCCAGATCGATTTGAAATTTTTTTTCCCATCGAAAAATTTCACACCTTCTCGAATTTTTTTCTCGAAAATACATAGACTTTCGGAGGTATGTGTATTCACCAAAAATGATTGTAACTGACCTCCGCAACCAAAAATAATTTTTCTAGAACGATTTGAAATTTTTTAATTTTGTCGAAAAATTAGTCCACCTACTCGACTTTTTTTTCTCGAAAGTGGATAACTTATCAACAAAGCCTCGATCAAGAAACTGATATTCTTGATTTTCGTCTTATTTTAGAATCTCCTATTAAAATTTTTCTCAAGGATGGCCGAACACCCTGTATCTATTTAAAATATTTTCCTTTTCATTATCTGTATCCGACGACTAATACTCGTCTTTAGCGTCAAATAGATGATAGACTCTTATTCAAATTTAATGTTCGCGCTTTGAGTCTTTTTTTAAAATACAAAATAATTTTTTGGTCGACCCTCGCGTTCCATTCGAATTGGAAGACGCCCGTTGCGAGTGTCGAGCGTCCCACTTTGGAGGAGCCCGCTAGTGTTAATTATTTCGTATAATTCACCTGCCGGGTTTGAGAAGAATAGCTCCGCGGAGCGGTTCCGCTTATCAAAGTGGCGGGAGCAGAAAGTCCAGCTGGCCGATAACTGGCCGGGAAAAGGCCACTATAGAAGGAGTATATCATATTACGGTGGACGGATATAGCCGTGCGTGGACGATAGGGCGAGTGTCCGACTACGACACGATCGGCCGAGATAACTATGAATCCTAACAGTTTCGGCTTGCTCGTGACATGTTTGCCGAAGCGTGCAACGCCGAGTCTGCAATATCATGCATCAAAGGACAAGCGAAACCATGGTCCATCGTGTCATCCTCAGGGCCGGTGCAAGCCAGCTAGACCATTATGACGTAGTGTTGAGCACCGGGCCGGCTTCATGTCACGACTAGTTCGTCTTCCACGTTGGCTCCTGCCGCCGTCACCTCTATCGAACAGTGCTCGATGAAGAATTACCGCGAACACATGCTCCGCGAGATTCCGAAACCGCCTGGCCACGTTCGACTTACCAAGCAAATGTTTCGCGCAACCACCGGAGACACCCTCCGCAACGCGTTAACCAAAGATGGCCAAACTTTTTTAGATATTGATACAATTTCTTATGAAAAGCAATAAATTCTTCCTTCGAGACATTCCTATTTTTTTTCAGAGTAAATAAGTATATTTGAATACTTTTAGGCGCGTTTATTAGGACGAGTTCTAACTGTATTTTCAAATTTCTATGGAAATTTTCGCATATGTTAAAAATGGAACACACCAAAAAATGAACTTTTTATATTCTCCCTTTCTAGAATAGTAAATTCGATATATTATGCTGTACTATATTACAAACACTATGAGCCCAATATCGAAAATAAGAATCTCATTAAAAATAGTAAATATTTCCTAAATCATTATTATACTTTAAATTTGATTTTGCCCAGTCGAAAGAGCATACAATTCCCCATAATTCCATAATATGTAAATTTTTATAAAAGTTCTACAAGTAAACGAAGCATATGCATGAAATAAGTATTCCATATTGGGGCAATTGACCCTACAGTGAAAAAGAAGCTTTTTTCTTTAGAACGGCTTATAACATTGAGAAAAGTGGAGACACCCAGTTATTACACCGGGTCCTTCGATTTACAAATGTTAAAAAGGCTTGGAAAAGGTCAATAAGAGAGTTTTGGTAGCGAAAGAAGGTCGTGGCGCGAGCTGTTCTTTCGCGCGGAAGCGGTGGAATATGGGTCGAGAAAGAGGGAAATCGACCACCGGTGGCGAATTACGCGTTACAGCCGGTCGCTGGCCGCCACGATACCATCTACACGGATTTCGGGCCGGCATCAATTCGGCATTACAGCTCGCGAAACGCGCGACACAACCTCGAAAACCGCGCGCAGAGCGCGATGCGTACGGCGATTTTCAGCGCGCAAGACATGACCGCGATTTGGTGGTCAGCCCCACTCGGCGTCGTATATCAGCGGGGACACCATCGAATTAGAATTTACGAAA